TATTTCGTTATTGTACATAAATTAAATTATAAAAAAATTGAATTAAAAAATTACACAAAAAATGAGGAATTTCAAATAGTTAATTTGATATTAATATCGATATATTTTTATCAAATTTTTATAATATCTTTTAACATATATTTTATTAAAAAATAAAAACATATCGCTTTCTCAAAATTACATAAAGTCATATTATAACATCAACTGAGATAAAGAATAAAATAAAATATTAAAATCACAATGTATCTCGCTGCATTGCGCGAATACACTTTTAGTTTAGATATAATACGATTGCACTCGTTCTGTTTCCATCTTTAAATAAGAAATTGATAGCATTGTTACCTAAAAAATATATTGTAAATTTTTTGACCAACGGATCATAAGCCCCGTTCAGTTAGTCTCACTCGACCATGTGAATGACTCTGTATATCGGCCAAACTCACTTCAAGCGTTAGAACCCATTAAGCTCCACACTAGTCTCAGCCCGATGGACCCAAGGATCCAACCGGGTTCATTTGCTCTGAAAGTTTTACTCGTTTCCGAGCCCGCATCTCTGCAGCAATCGGCCCGGGGACTTTCCTGAACCCGAATCCATTTACACAGATCCATAGCCCAATCACATCATCCGTTGGTCAAGATCTAGTCGCCAAACCAAACTTTTATTCCAGCCACCGACTCGATGTGGGTCGCAGTGCGGGAGATTGGGGATTTCAAACCCTAGTTTCTGATTTGAAGCTGGAATCGAGGTCATGAGGTCTGATTTTTGTTCAAATTTTAGGTTAAATTTACTGTGATGGATTTGTAAAAATGAATTCATGAATCAGATGCTATTTCTGAATCTGTATGTATTAAGACATAGCAGAAATTGAGTATTGATGAATTGGTTTCCTTTTGTCCCTTAAATTGGTGAAATCAGAAATACTCATCCTCCATGCTTTAATGGATGGTTTAGTTTGGTTTCTGTTTCTTCTGATTTTAAATCCTTTTATTGAAATCATTCAGCTTAAATAACCTTTCATCTAACATGCTTCACTGCACAGTGGACAGTAGCTTAATGGGCACTTCACTGCACAGTGGACAGTAGCTTAATGGGCACTTCACTGCACAGTAGACAGTAGATGGGTGGGTGTTGTGAGTGTCTCCTACGGACGTCCTTGCATTTGAAGATGAAGTGAAAGAGGTGGCTATAGCATAAAGGCTGCTTGGAGCAGGACCTTGATGAGGACCATTCTGGCTCTCAATCTGCTATTTAATGTACAACTAAGGGGCCGTTTACTAAACACTTATTTGGTAAGTGCTTAACGGATAAATTTTCTTAACATGAGAAGGGCCAAAAATTTTACTAGGTAAGAGCAATGAGAATGATGGAGAGTCTTACCCATTAAGTGAGGATGACGACTCTTATCCAGGTAAGCGACTTACTCAGTAAATTGTTGCATTCGATATATTTTGATGTACTAAAATCTTGCTCATCAAAATAAAAAATAGTGTTGACTCCTATTGGTAAGCGCTTTCCGAGTAAGCAATTGGGTAAACGGCCCTTAAGTGACCAACATAAACTGTAGTCGTGCAATAGTGAGCATTCCACGGTCTCCTGTCCTATAACCAATATATACGCATGAGTACTTTAGTGCTATGTCTAATTCAGTGTGACAACAGTAATGACTTCTTGAAATTCTACAAAGACGGAAAATTAACGTACTCGGAATTGTTACTACATTATCTTATTATACTCCATGTTCGATAAGAGTATAACATCTTTTATCTTGGGTTATTAATCGATTTTGTCCGGATTCCACACTTGGGTTATTAACGTCTTTCATCTGTATGTTAATTAGTGATGGACGAGAATCTACGTGTGAGGTGGACGAATGAACTTACCAAACGCTTCTTAGAGACCTGTATAGAAGAGGTCAATAAGGTGGGACGAAACAGAAGGAAGGATTAAGTGATGAGTTATTTTCTGAGTATGATCAAACCAACGAACAAGGGAACAATGACGAGGATGAGGCTGAAGAGATTCAATCGCATGGGAGTGCCGCTGACCAAACATATATGGCTGGTTTAAGAGAAGAAATTGCGACACAATTAATGCAAAATGAATATTGATTCTAGTTGTTATGAGACTTTATTCGTGTTTTCTATCGTGTGTTGAATCAATTGACGTATTTCAATTGAATTTTTGAATGTGTTCAAAATATATGGTAGTTTACAAATGGTTTAAATGATTGAATATTTCAGTTAAATCTAATTGAAATGAATTGATTCAGATTTCAGAAAGAGAATCAATGTGATTCAGGTTCTTTTTCTGCATTGATTCAAGGACGGATTTTGTATACCGTTTTCTCTAATATCAGTGCAATCGTTTTATATGAATAACTCTGAAACATAACTAATATTAGGTCATATATTGGATATATATTACAAAAACTATCAAGCTTGTATATTTGGGCCTTCATTAACCCAAAGCATGACTTCCTTGGCCCAAAACCTTATAAAAATTCTCCTCTTTTTATGATTTATATAAAAAATAATTAATATAATTTTTACTATATTTTTATAAAATTACATGACATACTCTTTTTGAAGTATATAATCTTTATATAAATGCAACAAATAAACTCAAACACCATTCTAATCTTTGGTGAGGTTTGAACCCTTGACCACTTAGGAGGTCAAATGTTACGATACCGCTAGACCAAATTCTCTTTGGTTACTTGACATAGTTATCATTAACGGTAGAGGATTAACAGTATGTCATTTAAAATGTTGTTTTTTTTTTTTATTAATCTGGATATCCAACCCGCTATGCGAGCCGACTAATTCCAGGGCAACCACCTGTTTTGCAGATAGCCCGGAGTCACCACATTTGAACCTCCGTAGCCACAAGGGGATTTTTATTCCTCGTTGGATTTGAACCTGAGACCTCCTGGTACTTTTGATCTTTGGAGCCAAGCTCAAATCAATCACGCACCACCCTTGTGGTTAATGTTCGTTCTTTTAGTTATTTTGTTAAATGGATATGTCGAGAAAAGACCAATTTAATTTTTTACGTCTTTTTTTAGAATTAATTATATGTTAATCAGATGATGTAAGGGATATGATTATGATTCATGAGTGTATAAGCATGTGATTAAGGAAAAAATTTAATCAAGTACTTGATTACAAAAGTAAGAGAATACAAGGAATATTTTATTTGTTTTGTTTGTTCGTTAATAGTTAAGCTGATATGGTTGATTCATGACGTCAACGGATCTGAACTCGTGTTACCGATAATAATTGGCTTTAGAGTCATTAAGATCAGATCATCATCGTCTCTCGGCAACAGTATATTTGTGTTGAGAGCAGTATAAACCATTAGAACACATGAAACCAAGACCGAGAGTCCAGAGAGAATAAGCATAAGCAAATGGGCAACGGTGCTCTTCATTTCATGTGCATACTTTGTTGAAGCCAATGCCAATAGTGTTAACGGGTACGAATACGCCCACCAAACTACATCAAACTTTTTCATTGATTTCTTGAATAAATTCGGCCTTGAAACCTGAAAATTCAACATGAAAGAAAAAAAAGTTCAGTTAAAATCTTTGTAAAATTTTTAAAACCCCCATAAAAACGAGTTTAAAAAACGAGATCTTTTATACAAGTCAAAATGAATGTCACAATACATTTATTTTCTTCTTAGTAATTAATCACGTATGACAAAAGAATACCGAAACGGAATGTATGAGAGAATATGCCAGTTCCTATTTTCGTAGGGCTCATGAGAATTTATTTTGATTTATAAGTTCAATCTAATTAAATTTACTAAGATTCAAAATATATTACTTTTGAAAGAGATAAATGGGTTGTTTGATAGTTGCTGAATGGTTTGGTACAAAGTGATTAAATGATCAGAATGATAAAAAAAGCTCTCATGATATACTGCAAAATAAAATATAATTGTTTGGTAATTGTTTACAATGAAATTAAGACGCTAAATGGTTAAGGGATGTCCAAGATACAAAATTATTCAGAAGATTTTAGAACCATTAAGAGACATATTTTTTTTTGGCCAAACAAGATTCACCTCTTAACGATTCAATTCTGCCTCTTAATATAATTATTAAGAAGTAAACAAACAACCCCAAATTTGTTTTGCTAAGTATTGAGACCAATAATTCTATTAAGAGACAATCTCTGAATCATTAATATGTGAATCTCGTTTGGCAAAAAAAGAATATGATTCTTAATGATTCTAAAATTCTCTAAATAATTTTGTATCATGGGTTTTTCTTAACCGTTCAATTCAGCGCCCTAATTCCATTGTAAACAATTACCAAACAATTATATTTCATTTTGATCTATATCATGAGAGCTTTTTAATCATCTGACCACTTAACCATTATATAATGTTTTGAAAATAGACATTTTTTTAATTAACTTGGATATCCAACCTGTTATACGAGCCGACTAATCCCAAGGTGATCACCGACTTTGCAGATAGCTCAGAGTCACAATATTTGAACCTCCGTAGCCAAAGGGGATTTATTTTAAAACAAACTAATAAAATAATAATGGTAGATATTTATTTTGAGATGTAAAAAGTATTTATTTGGACTCACCAGAGAGAAGAAGAGAAATAGAGCAAGATAAAAAAGCATTTTTGATGAACAATCAAACGTTCCAGAAATGGAGTCCCAAGCTAAGCTCGCCATGCTCGGAGCAGCAATAAACAAGAACATCACCGGCCGGAGCATCACCGGCATGCAGCTCTTTCCCGATAATCTCTGATAAAGTGTCACAAAAACCACCACATAATGCACAATTCCCAACGAAAACATAAACATTGCACTCTCTTTCCACCCCATCTGAGCCGCCGTCCGTGCTCCCACAAAGTTTCCGATCACCGTCAACTGACTCGCCGGATTCGCCACCGTCGACAAAAACCTCTTCCCTTTCGTGAACCACTGCCCGTATATCTTCACGTCCAAAATGAATATCGGAACAACAAAAACCCACCACAGAAAGAGGTAATAAACAGTTTTTGGTGCTACAAATGGCGTCGATTGAAGCAAAAGCAGCCATGAAATCCATGGAGCAAAAAGGTAGTTGACACTGATGTGATTTAGGTATTCATCTTTAACTTTGTTGGATAGTAGGGCACATCGTAAAAGATATAAGATCGAAAGAGATACAAGAATGAATAAAGATAACGACCACAAAAGGAGGAATGCGGCGGAGGGCATAACTCCGAGCATTCTCCGGTAAGCATGAGCATTTTCCGGCGGGTCACTTAGGGTTTTCCAGAGTAGGGTTTGCCAGCAGAGGGAAAGGCTGATACGGAAGTAACCGGCGTGGAATCTTGCTATGATTGGAATAACGATTCCTTTGAGCATTATTAGAATGTTATCATGGTGGAGGTTGGTCGGCTGGTGGATGGTGATTGAATTTATTTCTAACTGCAGCTGCGGTGGCGGTGGCGATGGCGGTAGTGATGTTGGTGGGGTGATTTCTTGAGTGGGGTTCACTTGCATGGTGACGGTGGACGGTGGTGGTGATGAAGACGGTGGCTTCTATGTGTTTTTACACGTTTTTAGTAGGTGATGATATGCAAGTTTGCTTCTCAGTTTTGTCAATTGCAGATGGAAGAGAGCCTATATATAGGAACATAGAGAATGTAATGGAACTCTTAAAAGCAATTTAATGAATATATATATATATATATATATGAATTGGAATGACCAAGAGTTTTTCGTGAGACCCGTAAGACCAATTCTCAACCCTCTGATTAAATATACGATCTGAACATTCATAATCACAAAATTATCACGAGACATTTCAATAATCACAAAATTGTCACCGTACAATTTTAGATCATTAGCTCATAAAGTTGATCAATGAACATAAATTGGTCTTACGGGTCTTACGAAAAACCCTTGGTCTCACGTGAACCCAACTATATATATATATATATATATATATATATATATATGAGTTATTATACAATCATTTACATTTGTACAACCAATACAACTCAATCTCAACCGTCCATTTAATTTGATGAATATGTGATTTCATAAAATTTTTAATTGTTTCATAATATAAATTATTGATCATAACTAATGAACTTTAATCATTTTCCATAAATATTTAAATCATAATAAATGAACTCTCATCATTTCCATAAATTTCTCAATTGATTGGATTACATTGGTTGTAAAATAGACATAGTTGCATTTGAAATATACCTTATATATATATTTATGTTTTAAAAAATTATTAAATATCTATGTTTTTGTTTTTGGAAAAAAGAAAAATAAAAAAAAAGATACTAAAAAAGGGGGTGTGAAAGGAGACTAAGATATGTTTATATTTTTGGGTATACGTTGACAGAGAGGGTTCTTGGAAGTTAAGGTGGGACTAAAGAAGAAGGCTGACCATAACTCGGCTAACCCTTTTGGACCGAATCGGCTGTCTGTTTTCAGCTCCTTTCTTTACAGCTAGATGTCATGGATCATGCCATCATGGTGAGACCCACAATCTAAAGCTCGGCTTAACGGCTTGACTAATGAGTCAAGTTGGCACGCATATAAAGCGAAAGCCTTTTACTGCACACTCCATTTTTAACACCACCACCACCGCCAACAACAAACAAATCCAATCTTAATATTTTATTTTTTAAATATTACACTCTTTTTTTACGTGTAATTTATCTACTCGTAAGTTACTCGAAATCGACTCGATCAACACTCGACTTGAAGTATTTGCAAATCGAGTTGAGCTACCCAATACCCGACTCGAAAAACGCGTGAGATACTTGATCCTTTTAAAATATAATCAGTTTTAAAATATAATATAATAAAAATGTCTTATATTTTTAGATATTTGAACAAAAGTGTGTGCTTTTGAACTATAAAAACTAGTCAATTAATTTTTGTTTGTTAAAATCATAATTAAAAAAAGACAAAAAAAACTATAGAAATGTTAATGAAGTTGTCTCACGTTGGAAAGAGAGATGATAAAAGAATGGTGTAGACATGTTATAAAAAAGAGGTGAAATGAGCATGTAATTTTGTCTTTTTGATGATGAAGTTTGATTTGCGTCCCATTAATTTTAAAAGAAATAAGATAACACCTTTAAGTGTTAAAATTTATAAGAGAGACCGTAAAATTAAAATTTCAACGGGTAAGCTTCGTTCGAGCATGATTCGTGTTCGAGTTTGGAACGAGTTTGAGTTTGAGTTTAAAAAACTGCAATCGAGTTCAAGTCGAGTTTACTTAACCACTCGGGAGTTTTTAAGTCGAGTTCAAACTCGAGAAATGGCTATCGAGTTCGAGTCGAGTATATCAGTACTCGAGCCCCCTGATCTCAAAAAAAAAAAAAAAATTTCCCCTCACATTAATGTTCTTGAAGAGGTTCCACATTAAGATTGTCTGTAATTAATCATCTTTTTTTTTCCCATTTTCATGATATTTTATTTTTTATATTGAACTGCCCTAAAACAAGAAAAAAATACTTAAAAAGATACGATTTTGACGATGAAAAATACATTTATTGTAAATAAGTCGATTAAAAGTGTTTGATATCGATATAAAAAATGTTCATTTCTGTTATAATTAACTATTTTTAGTGATGTTGATAGTTTTGAACCGACTAGATACATTTTTTGTTGTATTTAGCCATTGGTGTTATCAAAATTTCTAGAATAAATTACGGATTTGGTTCATGTGGTTTTGTGGTTATTACAAAAATGGTTCCTAAACTTTATTTATTATAGATTAGGACTTGTCGTATGTAGTTTTGTAACGAATTGGTCCCACCTTTTTAATGACCATCCAGTTCTTTCGTTAACTTTGAGGACATTTTTGTCCTTTTTCATTTTTTTGTCTTTATTTGAGAAACCAATTTCGTAAAACCCACACAAACTATAGGGAACAAATCTGTAATTGAGTCTAAAGAAAAGATATATTCTTTTTTGTACTTTGAGTTTATCAAATTAGTTAATTATTATACTTTAATATATATATATATATATATATATATATATATGAGAGCGATCAAATGAAAACCACTTCAATTTTTAAAAACCGTAAAAACTACTCTCATTCGTCGATTTCATTGTTTAATTTTATGAAATTTTTTCATGAAATTGTTTAATCTTGTGAAATTGTTTCATATAATACTTTTTTTTGATGAAGTTGTTTCATATATGGTTATGAAATTGTTTCATATAMTAYTTWMTSTAAAATTAATGAAACTGTTTCATGTATTTCTCTAAAATTAAAATAATGAAGATGATAATATCCATGATTAACATCATCCACAATAAAAATGATTAATCAACCTCTCATAATTACAAAAAAATGAACAAAATGAAAAATTATGATTAATTGAATGAAGTTTGTACGGTTTGTACAAATTAGGTGGTTTTTATTTGAACGCTCCCCTATATATATATATATATATATATATATATATATATATATATGGCCATTCAAGAAAGAACTGATTAGTTTGTGGTAACTATGAGATCTAAGCTCAACCACAAATCAACGGATAAATTAGAAAATTAATAATTATGGTAGTTTGAGTTAAAATTATAATTAGAGGGCATTTTAGGTATTTTTTAAAAACTCCTCTCACCTCTCTCCTTTTTCCTCTCTCATCTCTCCGATCTCCAATCTCTGGCCTCAGGTGAACATTAATCCGGCAGGTACCAAGTAATCACAAAGATACACAATGTGATACCCACTGTGATATACTGTGATACCAACTATGACACCATTGTGATACCAACTATGATACCAACTCAAACTTTAAAAACAAAGATACACAATGTGATACCCATTGTGATATACTGTGATACCGATTTCAGCGGAGGCCGGAGATTGGAGGTCGGAGAGATGAGAGAAGAGTTTTTTAAAAATACCTAATATGCCCTTTAATTATATTTTTAACTTAAACTACCATAATTATTAATTTTCTATTTTATCCGTTGATTTGTGGTTGAGATTGGACCTCACAGTTATCACAAACTATTCAGTTCTCATTTGATTAAGCTCCTCTATATATATATATTAGTTATTATATTTTAAGTTTAATTTTAATATACAATATATTTTCTTTCCAAAAAGTATATATTACGTACGTACATGCGCTTATGCATGCATGCACACACACATATGTATAATATGAGGTTTAGAAGAAAATGATATCTATCACTCATTAGATTAATTAATTCAACATATATGATTAAATGGATGTTTACAATAATATTTTTATATTAAAAAAACATCTCCCCACCTATTTTGTATTCGAAAAAAAAACAAAATCGAGCGAAATAAATTACATAAAAAACCAATCATGTTTCTCACTAATTTGACATCCATAGTGATATATTTTTTCATCAGTTTTTTTTCGTGGTTTTCCGGGTTTTTTTTTATTTTGTGTCGAGAGAGAGTTGAGTTAAGAGGAAAACGCTAAATAAATGAAAAACCAGAAAATTACAAAAACAAGATGAAAAAATAAATCAGTGTACTGTAATTATCTCGCTCGATTTTTATTTATATCTCATTTTTTTCGAATAAAAGATAGAGGTGATGAGATTTTTCTTAATTTAAAAAATATTGTTACAAACATCCACTTAATTACACCCATTGGATCAATAATGATTGATGAAAATGGTTTCTCCCGAACAATTGAACCTCGCAATATATATTGCACCGCCTTTCTAAAACAAAATTAAATATTACTATTATGAATTTATTAAAATAATTATTATTTTATATTATTAAAATAATTATTAAATTACATTATGAATTTATTAAAACAGTTGTTGACCAGGAGCTAGTACTTGTGTTCACAATCATTCTTTAGGGGGATAATGTGTTTATAAAATAAGCCTATTTTATATAAAATAACTATTTTAAAAATCAATATTCTAGAAAATATATATTAAATTTTTTTGAAAATAAAAACGTTTGAAAATTAAATTGAAGACCAATAAATGTAAAACTAGAAAAAAGTCAAAAGGCATTACCCTTAATTGATTTGACTTCCTTCCTTCCTCACCTTTTTTTCACGGTAAAAACATGATTCATCATTTTCTTTTCTTTAGGCATCAGAATATGATCCGTTTTATTTTGAAACCCTGGTTTCATATAAAAATCGAGAATCGGGAATGGGAATAAATAAGACTGTTCATCGATTGACGTCTAATGAATGTGAGAGGAACCGAACTGATCCAATAATCCACTTGATGTTTGATTTTTCCTACTGATTCAATCTAATCCAATGGATGATTGGATCAGTTCGATTCCATACATTGGGTATCCGTATTGGGTATCCATTGGATCTATTTGATATATAATGGATGATCTGATCAGATCCGTTCGACATTTTAAATCCAGTTTACAACCATTCATATAAGCAATTAAAGAACATTTGACTTTCGACGAAAGAAAAACTGAATTTGTTATTATTAGACATGCTTGTTGAGCTTAACATCAAGGAAACCTGTTCTGTGTCTTGCCT